TAGGGTAGGTTAGGTTAGGTTATCTGGTTTTGTTCAAGTGACCACCCTCTTTCGATCCCCCACCTCCACGCGCTTGAAAATATTTTTTTTATTGAATTTTATTTGAATTATAGTGTATGAAAATTGTCAAAATAATGAACTTTCAACCCTCATAACTTTTATGGGGGTGAGACCGCCGCAAATCTTTTGTGGGGTTTTAGTCAGGTGACCACCCTCTTTCGATCCCCCCTTTCCCCATCCCCTTGGGCGGTGGGGGGCCATCATATACCCCCCATAACTTTTTTATGGGGGTGAGAACGCCAGGAACATTTTATGGTACAGGGGTGGGGGAGACCTCCTCTTTCGATCCCACCCATCCCCACCCCCTCTGGGGTGGGTGCCATCATCTAGACATTTACCTCACTTTAATGTTTAATATTGAATATCAACCTCTTCAAGAACATTTCGTACATACAGATATATTGATGAAAGTAACTATTTGCACAGCTGTATTTCCAATTAAATCGAAGCGAAGCGCAATGTATTATCTGCACTTGTTCGACGGCAAATCAACAACCAATCTACGCTGCGAATATATATGTTTACGCCTGTTGTGTGGTGACATTTGATTACATGCATCGAATGTTGAACTTTAATGTAATAATTCAAATATAGATTGCAATCTACCGACGAAAGACAACAGCTGACAATTCAAATCAAAGTCGCACAATAGGGAACTGATGATGTCATGTAATACTGAAAACAAAAATACAAACGTAGGAAACGAAAGTCAGAAGAAGTGGCTGATTTTCGGTATCTAGGAAGTCAGATAAGTCAGGATAGAAAGAGGAACAGGGATATAATGTACAGGATTGCGCTAGCCATGCTCGCGAATGGTTAATTTAGAAATTCGAAAAAGATTGTTAAAGGTGTATGTTTGGAGCTCGCCGCTGCACGATTGAGAAACCATGACGGTGGGCGCGGCGGAAAGAAAAGGTTAAAAGCGTTCGAAATGTGGTGTTACCGGCACCGAGCGGCATGGCCTAGAGGTCTAGACCATTGCTTAGCATTCGGGAGGACGCCGGTTCGATTCCGGGTCCGTCTGCCTTGGTCCAAGTTTTTCTGTGGTTTCCTTGGATCACTTAGGCAAATGCTGAGGCAGTAATATTCCACAG